TAGGTGAAAGCCTTTGAAGAATGGGTTTGTTTTGCTCCTTCTTTTTACCTCTTAAACTTAAAAGCCAAAGGATCTACCTCTGCAAGCCAGAACAGAAATGGCAGAAATTTTGTGCTTTCTTTTGGGACACTTTGAAGACATGAGGCTCCTTATTCCATTCACTGGATTCACAGCTGAGTAATCCATTCAGCCGTGTTTATACCTTTCTCCCGGCTGTCCCCTAAAAACCCCTCAGGGAGACAAGGCTGTGGCATCCCATCCCATGGGCTGCAGCATGGCTGGAGGTATGGGACTCCTTTTGTTCATGGAATTGCTTTTCCATTGCCTGTCTGCTCCAAGGGGCATCAGCACATCCTGTGCTCAGGGGCTGGACCAACTCTTCCTGGTGCATTCAACACCCAAGGACTTCTACCCTGCAGAAATCTCCCACCAGAGATTACTTGAAAAGTTTTAATTTGGTATCATAACATCCCTCCCAGGTAGACATTATTATATTATTATCTGCAATTTGTTGCTGGAGACAGTCAAGCCCAAACTGGGATAGTGACTTATCCTGTGTCATAACACCATTTCATTCTGGCTGTGCCAGACACAAGGAGATAACCCCAGGCAGGCAGGGTGTTCTCCAGCTCAGGAAAGTCAAGGGATGAAACCCTTGGTGGTTTTGGACGCCAGGACTTGTTTGAAATCACCCTCTGCATCAGGTTTTTTGGATCCACAGCAAAGGAACTTGTGGGGGTTCATCATCTGACAGTCAGAGCAAGACAAGCCAGAGCTGACTCAGCACAAAAGGCTCCTCTGATGGGAGATCACAAACCTTGTGGTTCACAGGGAAGATGGAGAAATGTGTACCTGCTCCAAGCACAAGGGCAAGCAACTCACATGGGAGTTTGGGTCTCTCCCGTGCTGCTCACACACACCTGGAATACGATGGGTTGCAAGTGGCACCTGCCCTGTGAGGTTCAAGGCTGCAGTGAGAGGCTGAGTCTGATGGAAACGCTTCCTGTGAGGTGTACAGAAAAAATGAGGATCGTTTCCCTTCCCACACTCAGCAAGATTCTGCTGTGAGCCCGTTACTGCCATGCTGCCCTTCTCCAAACCACCCCAGCACCAGGAGCCAAGATGATGTGGGGGCAAACAGCTCAATTTCACAGCTTCCCACAGAAAATCCAGAGCTATGAAAACAGAGGCTGTACATAATCAGCCTGCAGAACAGCACTTCCCAACACTTGGGCAGCAGCTGAAGCCTGGATTGCTTGGAAAGGCATTCCCACAGATTGGAATTGCACACACACAGGTCATAGCCACGTACCTGAGCTGTGGTAAATCATTTAACTTGCTCTGTGCCTCAGTTTTACCCAGCTGCACTCAGGAACTGGATTGAGTCAGGAGTGAGTTAATGGCTTTGGTGGCTGGTGCTCTACCAGCACTGGGCTGAGGATCAGCAATGTGTGAGGCCCTTTGAGGTCTGCCAGCATAATCTTATTCCAAAATCTGTTTTCCCTTTCAGATCTGACCCCTCTGACCTGTGCCAGGGCTTACCTGTGTCCAGCCCACCTGCAGCATCCCCAGGGCAGGTCAAAATGCTTCACAGGGGTTATAATTTTTCAAGTCCGCAGCCAAGCTCACCTGAATTTGCTGATTTAAAAGTAGCAAGATTAATCTAAATATACAACACTTCCATGGGGAAAACCCTCTCAGAAATGCCAGGCACTTTAAGAAAAGAGCAAAAAAACTTTAGAAGGACAGAGTAAAGAAATTAAGCATCAGTAAATAATAATTGATAAATAATAAGAACAGATAAGAAAGAGGACCTTGCACACCGCAGGAGTGCTCTAAGCAATCGTTAAAGGTCTGAGGTCTCCTTCTTCCCCTTTCTTTGGCTGAATCAACCCAAACTGCCACTTGTGCCCTGCCATTTATAGTTTCCTGGGCTGAGCTGGGGTGACCCTGGGGTCCCCCATCCCACTCCCCAGGCAGGGCTGGCGGTGTGGTTGTTTGGGTACCAGTATCCAGCCTTTCTCACCAGCCTTTGCAGTGTGTTGGCGTGTCGCTGCGTGCACGAGCACCTCCGGGATGTGTTTCTGGGTTTCCGTGGTCAGGAGTGGGACCCGAGCTTGCCCAAGCCGGGAGAACGAGGGAGGGAGAGCCGGGTCACTGTGGGAAAGGTGATGTCCTGCCAAAAACGGGTGTCTCCTATGGCTGATCCCAGGACTCGAGGAGGGATGACAGTGACACGATGTGACATTCTATCCCCAGCTGATGGGTGGCTCTCAGATCCTTGTTGTGCCTGGCTGTTCCTTCACTCAGGCAGCCCCTGGGGCTGTTCAGTGCCTCAAACCTCACCGTGCAGACCCTCCTGTGCTCCGAAGGGTCGCTGCCCGGCTGGGCTCCAGGGGTTGGCACCGGGCGTGGGGCTGTGGCACCGCTCTCACGCTTCCTTCTTGTCTGCAGGCTGGCTCAGGTGCTCCGATCACCTGCTGCTTGCGGGAACGGGAAAGCAGCAACTGAAGATCGAGGGGGACTTTTGGTTTACTCAGATGACAAGAGACAATTTTGGTTCCCCAAAAGCCAAGGAAACAAAGCTGTCAGGCTTTAATGGTAGCTTGTCTCCCTCCTGCAGCATGTTTATGGGCAAACAAGCTGCAGATCAGACCAGGCAAACAGCAGCAGGTGAGGCTCAATAACAATAATTCGTGATTAATGGCGAATGTGGCTTTGTTTATTCTTGTTGTATTGAGGCAACGCTGTCTAATGGATGAAGCACTGCTGCAAGACTCTGGGGCCTGGCTCAGCTCCCAGTGCTGCCGCCCGTTCCATCCCTCCCTCACCTCCTGTGTGCCCCGTGAGGGCACAAGCGCTGCGTGACACAGCCACCCTGTCCCACACCTGCACGTGCCCAAAGTGACGGGGCTGTGGCCTTGGCTGAGGCTTTGAGGCAGAAGAGCAATGCCAAAATCCACGCTCAGTGCTGCTGCCAGCCTGGTTTGCTTGTGGCACAGAGCTGGGTCCTTCACAGCAGCCAGCTCCAGGGCACAGCTTTCCAGGGCTTTTTTTTCTGACCGTAGCATCATTCCTAAAACCTCCAGTACGTGTTTCCCAAGTGTTGTGTCTCCATGTTGCACACCAACATCATCCATGCCTCCCTGCCACTGCCTGTGGCAAGCACAGACCCTTCTCCAGCCCAGTTCTCCACAGGCTCTGTGTTAAGCCATGCTGGTACCTGCTGGGTTTGCCTCCTCCCCAGCCACCGTGCCCCATGGATGTGTGGTGAGGCATGAGCCCTCTCCCTCTCCCTGCATGGCTCTGCTGTCCCCCGGGTGTGCGCAGGTCCCTGGCCACGCATGCGGCTTGAGCGCAGCCACGGCATGATCGCAGGCATGCACAGGGGGATCCAAGTGTCATCCAGGTCACAGAGTGGGCCAGTTCCACACAAGCAGCACCTGCTCCCCAGGGCGGGTTTGGTTTGGGGGTGGCCCTTTCTGCAGCAGAACCCCATCGCTGGGACCCTGCAGGGCCCCACAGCTCAGCAGCACTGCAGGGATATTTGCAAACCACACTCTGACTTTTGATTTTAAGGGATCCCCTAGAGACTAACCTAACCTGTTCTGGGACTGCAGAAGAAAGCTTTGAAGTTGCTCCTTCCTGGAAATACTTCTGGTTTCCTACGTCTCAGGGGGATGTTCCTGTGTTTGTTCTGCCCTGAACCAGCCTCAGTCACGGCAAACACTGACCGCAGCTGCCAGCTCCACCAGGGCACTGCTGCATCTCGCCCTTTGCTCCCTGACTTTGTGCAAGTTTTGTGCTGGGAGGAAACTCCATCTCCTTCAGCTCCTTTCCATTTATCCCTTAGTCTTAAAACATGAGTCATTTTTATGTAGCATGTGCTGATTTTTATTGCCATGCTAGCAAGTTGTGGAGCTGGATTTACAATATTCCGATTGTAAGCACCCCCTCACAGGTCCAGAACATGCACCCTCCTTGGTTAATCCTGGGCTTCTGTTTCATTTTGGGCACATGTATTTCCTTTATAAACCATGGCAGTCACTGCTGCGTTACTTGCAGGAGCCATCTGCTTTTTTTCCCCTGAGTTAAATTTATTATTAATTTCAGAACACAAAAACCAAAGAGATTTGGCACAAGGTTTCACCCACAGTTTTAATTTAAGAACATTTATTGTGCCTAGGAATGATTCTTATGGAATGACAAATGGGAAAACCCGAGCCCCTTTGCCCCAGTGTGGTGCTGTAGGCCCAATGAGATGCTGCAGTTACCAGTGCCTGCCTAACCTTGTGTTAATTGACTTTTGCCCATTAAGCAAAGGGAAGTTTGTGTGGACTAATTGGGTTTGATCTTCTCAAGCTTCCTTTAAGCCAAGGTTGATGAAAGTTTAGGGCTGTGGCTATTTGTGGGGTTAATCCCAGAGCTGAAGGCAAAGAAACTCTTTCCCCTGGTTCCCGTGGGCACACAATGGAAGCACAGCTCTTGGCCAGCCCAGCAGCTCCAGGTTTGGGGCAGGGAATTGTTGGCTCAGGGGGCTGATCCTGCCTGGTGGATGCAGTGTGTGCTGGCACAGAGCTGGGCTGCAGCTGCAGTCCCTGGAGAGGATTGGCACCCTGGCCAGTGGGACAAGCCACGTTTTGCCTGGCCACCCACCTCCACGGAGCACCCAGAGGGGACAGGGAGGGCAGCTGGTCACAGGAGCAGCCAGCAACACTGTGGACAACCCTCAGTCTTCCAGGAGAGCAGCCCAAACCTCGGCTTTAATTACAGCTGGGCTGGGAGGTGTGGGAATGCAGGTGAGGACAGCGTCCAGGTTTCTTCCTTTCCTTTAACCTTTATTTAGTTTAGTTTCATCACCCCACCTCGCCTCTCTCATTGAGGAAAATAAGGAACTAATGAGACATCCCAGCAGCCGTGCTGCTGTCTGGGAGGGGCTGGAGAGCTGCCTGCAGAGTCTGGGTCTCTCAGCCTCTTCTCTCCCTCTTCCTTGTCTCCAGTGCCCATCCCCTCGAAGGCCAACGGCACCACCATCTCCACCCTGTCCATGAACAAGGACGGTCTGATCGGAGGGGTCACGAATCCCAACGAGGTTTTCTGCTCCGTGCCCGGCCGCCTCTCCCTCCTCAGCTCCACCTCCAAGTACAAGGTGACGGTCGGGGAGGTGCAGAGGAGGCTCTCACCCCCCGAGTGTCTCAACGCCTCTCTCCTCGGTGGGGTCCTCCGCAGGTAAGCTGCTCCAAAAGCCCCAGGATCTATCTCCAGCACCAGCTCTTACCTCAAATAAAGAGATGAGAAATTCTGGTGTGTGGTACATTAAGGAATAGTATTTTTATTCCTTTTTCTTCTTTCCTTTCGAATCTCAAATCTTAAACTAGGATTATGGTTATTTTAACACGAATTACGTGGAAATTTATTTTCCCTCTTTGTTTTCTCTTTTTAGAGCCAAATCAAAAAATGGGGGTCGGTGTTTAAGGGAAAGATTAGAGAAAATTGGACTAAATCTACCTGCAGGAAGGCGTAAAGCTGCCAACGTCACCCTGCTCACATCCCTCGTGGAAGGTAAGGGTCTCTCCCTGCTCCCGTGGAGGGTGGAGTGCCAAAACTTCCATCCCCTTAATTTCCAGCTTTCCACAAACCAGAACTCTTAAAATATAGTGTGGTCACCACTGAATGAGCATGGCAATATCCCCGTGTAAGTCTCCACACTGACTCAAGAATGTGACCTTTTAAATGAGCAGACTCTTGGGAAGGCAGAGGGCAGAATGCAAATGAAACCAAGACAGCAAATGTCCCAGAAAATGTCTAAGCATGGCTGGCCTGACTGTGGCAGGAGGTTGGAACTGCATGATCTTTAAGATCTCCTCCAACCCAAACCATTCTAGAACTCTATGCTCCCATGTCTGATTTCCAAAACTCAGCCATTTCTGTTGGATCAGATGTGGCCCATGGAAAAGGCCTCCACATGGATGCCAAGCAGGACTGTGAGCATCCTTCTGGCTGGAGCTCAGGGTACCCCTCATGCCTTTGAACTGGTTTTAGCAGTTGGGTCACAGAACCAAACACAAAAAAAACCTGAATAAAGCTGCCAAGAATTTCCCAGCTGCTCTGCAACCCTGTGTGCCCACCTAAGGCACAGCTCAGGTGCTTCCAACCACGCCACCCTTGGGCAGCATCCCAAGCTCAGGTCCATGTCATGTCACCCGTAAAGAAGGAAATGCCCCATATCCAAGTCCTTTCCTCCTCCAGGAAATGAGTGAGACACCAAGGAGATGTCAAACTGCTCTGAGGTTTTGCAGGTGGAGCTCAGGTGTGGAGCAGCCACCCTCAGAGCTATGGAAAAGGTTCTGCCCTGGCAGGCAGGGCCCTGCCCAGACATGTGAGCTGCCCCTGCCTAACTCGGTTACTTCCTCCCCTCCTACTTCTCTCCACCATGGAAATGATGATGTTGCCTCTGCATCCTGGGAGAAAAGCACACGGGGATGCAGACAAATGGAATGACAGCTCTGCCTCCCTCTGAGCTCAGGAATCCATTGTGTCTCTGCCCAGCGCGGTGCAGGCAGCTGCCTTGGGATCCTGAATAGAAAATCATCTCCATTGTCGGCAGCAAATTAAATGACCCGCTTCATTAGGCCGAGGTTGTTACCCAGGGCAGTTGGTTCCTGCTGAATGAAAGGCTGATTTCCATGAAAAGAAAAGAAAGAAAAGAATGAAGGAAAGAAAGAAAGGAAGGAAGAAATGTACAGTTTGGTTTCAAGTGGCTGCTGATGGTTTGGTTCCTGCTTCCCAGCTCATAGTAAATAGGAGTGGTGCCATGTCTGTTTGATGGATATAATTTCCTCCTGCTTGTAAGCATGATGGAACCAGGGGATGCTTTACTCAGAGGAAGGTGGTGCTGGATTGTCATCACTCAGCACACACAAACTGGTTTGTGCTCCTCTGCCCCAAACACACTCTTTCCTGCATATTTGCTGTCTTGGCTTAATTTGTTTTCTCCCCTCTGCCTTCCTGAGGTCCGATTATTTAAAAGAACCAATGGATGGAGTCTTGAGTGCTAATGAAATTATTTTTTGTTACACTGACCCACAGCCATTCATACAGATGGGGAGGATATTCCTGGAGCACCCAGGGAGCACCAGGTAGAAACAGCTCCCTTGGGAGTCCTCAACAGGTACACCAAGCACTTGACCTCTCTTGGGCAAGTGCTCCATGAGAGCACCTTCAGCCTGGACCCAGGGGAGCAGCAGGGCTGTATTTCCACTCCAGAAACATCCCTAAGCTCTTGGGAAGAGGTTTGCCCACAGCCAGGATCTTGGTGCCCCTCTGCTCACCATGGCCCTCCGTGCACCCTCCTGCAGCCTCTCCTCCTCAAGATCTGGCTCAATGCGTCTTTAACACTAAAGCCAGAGTGCCCTGTCCCCCCTTGCACCTCTCTACTCCAGCATTCAAATTGCATTTAAAAACATTAAAATGTGCAGCCATTCACACACTCACAGAAGAAATAAATCCTGGCTCCAGCCCTGGCTCTGACACGAGGTCAGTCAGCTCTTTTTTATTATCCCAGTATCAGTTTTTCAGCAGTTGTTCCTTTCTGACTGTTCGCACAAACAACTGCAATTCTGATTCTTTAGGTTTACCTTATTTGCTCTCTCTCAGGAGGAGGAGATGAAGTGGAAAGTACTGTTGTTATGTGGGGAGCAGAGACACTTCCCTGTAACGGGCTGCACAGACTGAGCTCAGGAGCCGGGCAGGCTGGGATGGGATCTGGGTTAATGCTATCAGGATGGATGGCCTAATACGTGTGAGCAGCAGGGGGGCAAGGCAAATTAGCTCTGCCTGCCCAACCGGGATTTCGGGTGTTGGGCATGATCAATTGCCATCAGCTCTGATTATTTCCACGGGGACGCTTGGAGATGGATCAATTCCATCAATGGGTGGGCATTTCCACGGGGTGATGGATACGCTGCCTGCACGTCCAGCCCCAGGCACTGTGGGGGATGTAACCCCCTTCCTCCTGCCCCTTCCTCCTGCCCTGCCTTGTCCAGCAGCCACGGAGCTGAGGTCACTCTGTAACATTCCAGTTTCCCTTTCAATCTCTTCTCAATTTGGAGAGGCCAAGCAGGAAATTTGGGAAGAAGTAGGGAAAGATGCAGCAGGCAATGTTCCCAAGTAAGAAATGCCTCTGCTGTTCTTCCTTTAGCAGCAGGTGCCCAGAGTCACACCTCACCCTGCTCCAAGGCCAGAACTGTCTTGATGCTCTTGTAAAAGGCAGCAAAGGAAGGACCCAGCTGCTGTTCAGAGCTGGCACTGGCTTATTTGGCCCACACATACTAATTACCTTACAGCTGAGAAGGAGAAACTCAGTGGTGTTTCTGCAGCAAGAGATGAAGGTGGGGAGAGCTCTTGGGTGGCCACAGAGACAGGGAAGGGCACCAGTCCCACCAGGACTGAGCTCCAACAGAGAGACAGCTGAAGCTCCACAGAAGTTCCCAGTTTCCAGTTCCCTGTCCCACTGGTGTTGGCACAGTGCTGATGTCCCTCTGTCCTGCTCGCAGGTGAAGCCATTCACCTGGCTCGGGATTTCGGCTACGTCTGCGAGACCGAGTTCCCGGCCAAGGCGGCGGCAGAGTACCTGTGCCGGCAGCACTCCGACCCCACGGAGCTCCACACCAGGAAAAACATGCTGCTGGCTACCAAGTGAGTACAGAGGGCAACGAGCCACTGGTGCATTCGGTATTGCAGCTGGGAAGGGGCATTAGCCCCCAAACTTTGCTCTTCTGTGGGGAAGAGATGGGCTCACGCTGCAGGAAGGTGTTGAGCAGGGGGGACAGCCTGCATGGATTGAAGGGTTTGCTCCTGCATGGGAGAGGGTAACCCAGCCCAGGGGAGCATTTTGGTACTGCCCCATGTGCCCTTTCCAAGCTGGAGCAGCTGCAGGGGCTCTAGTTCTGCACTCACGGTCTTTCCCCAGGCTGGAGCCAAAATCTCCCAATGGGGAGGTGGCTGTTGAGGCAGGGAGCAGGAAAAGAACCCTGAAATACACCCAGAGAAGTTGTGGACGCCCCACAGCTGAAAGCATTTTATGCTAGGTTGGATGAAGTTCTGAGCAACCTGGTGCCCACGCCAGAGGGGTTGGAACTGGATGATTTTTAGGTCCTTTCCAACCCAAACTGTTCTATGATTATATGACTGTATCCTGCAGCTCTCCACGCACATTATAGTGACCAAACCTTTCTCTTTCAGGCAAATTTGCAAGGAGTTTGCAGACCTGATAGCCCAGGATCGCTCTCCGCTGGGGAACAGCCGCCCCTCGCTCATCCTGGAGCCCGGAGTGCAGAGCTGTTTGACTCATTTCAGCCTGATAACCCACGGCTTCGGGGGCCCGGCCATCTGCGCCGCCCTCACCGCCTTCCAGAACTACCTGGTGGAGTCCCTCAAGGGGCTGGATAAAATATTCATGAACAGCACAGGGAACGGGCACACGGCTGGGGACTCCAAAGCGTCAGACAAAGAGGTGAAGCATCGGAAATAACAGCGTGGCTCCAGGGGGAAAGGTGACCCACAGCACTGTTTTCTGAACTGCTGAGCTTGAACGTGTGGGGAAACCCGTAAAGCAAAGAAAAGACAGGAAAAAAGAAGACTTAAAGACTTTAAGAAGGAAACAGTGCTAATGAACGTAGTGACATTGAGAGAAGCCAGGCTGATGGCTTTGGGGTTTTGCCTTTTTTTTTTTTTTTTTTTTTGTTACGTGGATGCAGGAAGCCAAGTCATGTGCAATTTGATTTTATTTTGCTTTTTTAAAAAACCATAGTGAAATCCTGATGTGCTCCAGGAATTTGTTCCAACTGAAAAACTGAGAGGAAAGAGTAGAAGCCTCGTCAGTGCAAGACCCAGAGCAGGAGCAGCCGAGGGCAGGGGGATGGAGCCCTGGCTCTACCTGGATTTATCCGCTGGTTTTGAGGCAAACACCCAGGAAATCTTCCCATTTCCCCACCCACAGCCCAGCCCCGACACCAGGCCAAGGAAACTGCTGGCAGAACTGCTGTGGATTTAAAGCAGGTCCAGGCTTTGTTTACAGCTTCAAACTGAGACTCACTGTGGATTTTCCTGTGGGCTGAGGAGCCCCAAGCCATGGCACGAGGGAGGAACAACCACACAGCCAACGGGTCCCAGGGCAGGATCTGGGGGAGTCCCCCTGACTGCTGCCCTCCTGGCTGGGGATAAGGCAGGTGAAGTTAAACCCAGGACTAAATAAAACTCCACAACCCACAGATAACAGCACACAAGTTTCTAAAATTAGTAATAATAATAAATAAAGCACAAGGAGCAGAACTTGAACCAGGCCAAACGGAACTCTTCTAAATCTGTATATATTTATTTATGTGTAATTAAAACCTGAAAGTTTTAAAATGTCCAGTGCAAGTTATTTATATCAAATTGAGTTGGGTTTTTTGTTTTGCCTTTTTTTTGTTTGTTTGTTTGACTGTTTGTTTTGGGTTGGGTTTTTTTTCTTTTGAAAGATGAAAATCTTTGGATTTTCTGTCATTAGAAATGGGAATGAAGTCTTGGATCCACCAAACTGTAGCATGGACAAGCTAGGCTGTGATGGTGATGACTCTAGAAGTTCTGCAAGATTTTGTACTTGCTGTTGTTTCTCTTAATGCTGCAATAGATGTACAACACCCACACTACAATGTCATTCTCATTCTCTTAATAAACCTCTTTTTATTTGAAGAAAGCACCTCCATCGTCTTTGTGAGAAGGATCCTTCACCTTTATGGCTGTATCTTAAAAGGGATTGTATAGTTTATTATATGGAAATTATATAAAATTGCATAGATTTAAGAAAGAATTCTCCAGTTTCATGGCTGGGGGGTGACAGGAGCTGGTGTTCCTGCCTGGTGTCCCCAGCCCTTGTGCTGAGCCAGCTGGCGCCAGTGGAGATGAATGAGTTTGCTGATGTTTCAGAAGTACTCGGGGTAGTCAAATCTAAACCTGTCTGTGAGGAGATGGAGAAGGACCTCATGGTATTAGTGATAAAACAGAAGATAAAACAGCCCCACTGATCCCCAGGCAATGAAGCTCCAAATTAGTTGTGTTCGTGGTGTCACCATGAGCAGGACTCCGCACCAGCACCTCGTACTTCCAGAGTTTAGAAATAAACACAATGGGAATGGTCAGGAAAAGGATTAACAAAGCAAAAACCAGATTATGTGTGCTAGCCCTGTATTGCTCTGTCCTGAATCTGATTTACAGATCTGGTAAAATCCAGCAAGTAAATCCACAGGGAACTCAGGTGGGAGCAACTCCCACACCAGGCAGGGCCAAGGGCTGGAGGTGCAGGAGGAAGAACATGAGCAGGATGTGACAGAGATGTGGAAAATTATGGGATAAAAGAACACAAACAGGGAAATACGACACCAAACCAAGAGGCAGGACACCCATGACATGGTCAGGAAGCAGGCTTAAGTAAATCTTACATGCCTCAGGTAAGAAGCTGTGACTTTTCATGGGAACAGATGTAAAAACGGCTTTTGACACAACAGAAGAGGATGATTTCAGGGAGCCTCCTTGCTGCCTTCCCTACATATCATTGCTCCTCACAGAGGAGCAGCTGGAGGGACTGAGCTATGGCAGCGCTCCCTGCACTGGACCCTTCTCAGAGTTGCACCCCACAGGTTTCTCTGGAGGTGCAGAACAGGCTGATGGTAATAGAGGGAAAACCCCAAACAGTCCCAAAAGGGACTACAGGAGGTTTGAAACAAACCTCCATTTCAGGAAAGTGTGAAAGGAAACACTTAATGTCCTAATATAATCTGTGGGGATGGCTCAGCATCAGAAACTTGCATCTAAATATTCCCTTCAAAGCTTAGGGAGGCATTTAAATTGGGAATTGGATTGGAAATGTCCCTTGGTATGAGGTTTGTGAAAGCAAGACCTAAATGACGGGCTCTGCAGGTCTGGTTTTGCTCTGGACCTTCCCAAAGGAAGAGCCAAGGAACAAGGAGGAGTCAGGGAGCAGAATGGAAATACTACAGACACATCAGAGGCTTGTTTACACTTCAAAGCCAGTTTGGATAATGCAGGGCGTGAACCAAAAGCACAAAAACTATTCCTATTTAAAATTATTCCAAAGTAGGAGCGCCCTGTTCTGCATCAGCATAATCCACATTTAAATGGATTATGATAAAGGAGAGTAAGGTGCTTTTGTGCTACAATACAGGTTTCCCTACATGGGGTTATTTAGGATAACTATCCTGAAATAATTCCATTTGCAGACATCCTCTGGTGCACGGTATCAGAGCAGAGCAAGCGACGCTCCGACACAGGATGAAAGTGTGTGTGTGTGCACACTGTAATATCCAGGCATGAAATATCATTTCCTAATTTAATCACATTATGCAAACCTGGCTTGGCTGGGGCACTTTGAATATCAAGGAATTCTTAGACACAGCACGGATGAGCAATGCAGACAGAGAATCAGGATCTGCCTCCAGTAATTACACACCACATCCATGGGGTGGAAAATACCTCCCTCCTCATTTTCCTTTTTGGGTACCTGTGAGTCTTTGGAATGTTTTATGAAGAACAGTCTGGTGCCTGAAAGGCCAGGACACCTCCAACGACCTGTGAGTGGGAGGAAGTTGCATGATTTGGATTCACTTGTTGATTCCACCACAGAAGCTCAAGATGAGTAATGGACACGTCACATAGGAGCAACTTTCTAAAAGCATCAAGACTTCCCAAAATTTTGGACCCCCTCATTCCTGCAGGCACAGAGACTCTTCATAAGAGTCATGCAAGGGGTCATGCAAGGCCAATTCTTTTCTATACTGAAGTCCATCCCCTGACAACTCCTCTCCCTTTCCATCCTAAGAGAAAAAAACATTTTACACAACTCCAGGCTCAACCCCAGTATAAATTCCCACACTGATTACAAATCTCATCGTGGGAAAATACACAGGATTGTGTCAAAGAGTAAAAATAGATCCAGGCTCAGGGTTTCTACGCTTGTTACAGAACACGATGGAATTTCAATTCTAAAGGGGAATGAAACAAAAAAAAATATTTTTTGAATTAATTTTGAATGAATGACAAATCCAGGGAAACCACATACCAATCCTTGACAAGTGGAAAAGAAAAAGAGAGAAACTCTTCAATCCCTAGGAGTCAGCTGTCCCAAGGGCAAAGCAAGGGGAACATGGAGCTGTGACTGTGCTGCATCATTAACACCAGGGAGCAGAGGCTGTGCTGGAATTCCACACAGCTTTGGACAGACTGAATAATTACCTTTAAACAGGCACCTTAAAAGCAACAGGGTAATAACAGCTCTCGATGTGAAACAACCCAATAACCAGAGTTTGCTGACCTGTAGTTAATGCATTCCTTCCTATAGGAGAGTCCATTAAATTCCCAACTTTACATGCAGAGTCCAAGGAGCCACATGGCCTGTGAGCAAGGGAAGCTTTTCCTGGTGGTGCAACTGAATCAAAACACCAACACTGGAAATGTTTTCAAGTCAAGCAGTAAAATAAATGTTATTTGTGAGGGTGACATGATGCTCCCGAGATTATTGGTGTAGACCTTGCTCTCCCTGTCCAGGTCCAGGATGTGGAGCCTTCATTATCCAAACAGAGCTGGCACAGAAAGTCTGACCCAGCCATCACCCAGAATGTGGCCATGCTGAGGCACAAGTTATCACTTTGGTCTTCCCACCTCAGCTCCTTTATATGGAAAAGAATTCCCACTGTGGCCACCTGAGCATTTCCATAGGATACCATAAATAGCAGTAATAATTCCAGACATAGAACATCCACTCATGACTGTGGTGCTAAAGCATCCCAGAACTTTTCCAAGGCAGGAAAAATCATGGCAGTGAAGTTCTGGATGGTTCCTTTGTATGTTTTTATACTCACACCTTCAGATATTTCTAATTTGATTATTTTCAGCAGAGAAAAGGCTAAAATCCCTGAGATCCAGAAGGATTTCTCATCAGGATAGCTTTGGTTTAGTAGCAAAGGTTATAGCCAAAGAAAATGTTAAATGGAGATAACTCAGCTTTTTTTGGGGTGTGAAATGAGTTCAGAGAAAGATCAATTTATTGCTCCAAGCCAAGACATTCTGAAGCATTTCAAGATGTGTCTGGATGCTTCAGCTTCTCACCTGATAATGGCTCTGCTGTGCAGAAGCACCTTAAATCCTTCTTGAGCTTTTCCACTGTTTAGAGCCTTAAATTCACTAAAAAATCCCCAAGAGTCAGCATTTTCTTGGTGTAACTGAATGACTTACATCCAACAAAAAACAACTGGTTCATCATCTTCCTCTGGCCCAAAATCCCACATGTTCTGTGAGTCTATTTATTATTTCTGCTCACAGAACAGAGATGTTTCAGCTAATTCTGCAATGGCATCTTGGATTTCCTTATCCTTAAACATGTGCTATAAGTAAATCAGATTCTCCCACTGGACACTTGAAGTCTTCTCATCAAACTTTTCCTCTGTCACAGACCTGATCGAAGTGGATCCATGGATTCTTTTACTGGATGAGATTCAGAACATCAGTGGCTGAAATACCAAGTGTCTTTATTCAAGAGTTATGAGAGTTTCACCTGGCATTGAAGACCTCATCGCCAGCCACATGGAATTCTGACCAGATTCCTGAGCAGATTTGATCTCCCAAGGAAGTTGCTTTTCCAGAGATATTTTTTCCTCAGAATGCAGCAAATACTTTCAAAAAAAGAAGCATTTCCTATGAAAACATTTTATCCAATCCAAATATCTGTCTCTGTTTCAGGAGGGTTACATTAATGTTCCTACATTACCTTGTTGTGCCATCAAACATCAAATCCTCATTGTATCAGACCCTGTGCTGAAACGTCTTTACTTGCAAATTTCTATTTCAAGTTTACAAAGGGAACAGTTACCTGCACCTCACTGAAAACAGATGTGACATTAAGAGCTGAAGGGATGTGGGGAGTTTAGGAAATTGTTGGGATTCAACCACAGATAAATCAACTCGAGCACCATAATTCCAAAAATCCCCACAATTTATTTCAAATAGATAACCTGCATGTTTATAATTTCATTTCCAATGATAAAAAAACTCTCTCCTTTAAGAATCTCTGTTCTACTTCACTGGAAAGCAAAAGCTTTCCAGCAGGGAGGAACATAGGATGCAGACACTGCTGAGGAGGAGGAGGAGGCTGGTGGAAAGGCCAGTTTGCTCAGTTTGGACCATGAAAACAACCTTTCTTACACCCTCTTGGTAATGTGCTGCTGTTTTGCCTCCTAAATGGACCCTGGCACCACAGGGAATTATTTAAGCCCAGGCCTCCCACTCCTGACCCATTTTCATTTCATTTCCTCTCCCAGCCCTGTCATATGGCAGCAGCACATTATATATTATATATTACAGATTATGGCTTTTGGAGTTTCCTGCTAATTTGGTCATCACAGGGATCTTCCAGGAGCACACAGTAATCACCATGAGAGATGAGACCAGTCCTGTGGCACAGACAGTCCTGACTCAGCCCTGTTCAGGTTCTCTTTGTGAGGAAGATGGGGTTTGGCACAAAACTTCTCCAAAAAAAACTCAGTAACAAAAGTTTCACATACAAGGAATTGCTGTCCAAAAGAAGGAAAACCACCAAATGAGCTGACAGCTTTGGAAATGTTTTCCTAATTCCCATGTCAGAGTCTGGCTATGTACTTGAAAGTTTCTGATTCCCATATAATCCAACTGGGCACATTT